GAGAGAGAGAGAGAGAGTGTGTGTGTGTTTTGGTGTATCTAAAACGCGTGATGTGGATGACCAACGTGCTGTTTTTGCTTTCTATTCTACTACCCTTGCCTCAAAATCCAAATGGAAAACGGAATGAGATTTTGGGTTGTAAGATTTTGCACAAATGAAAACAATTTTTTCTTTAATCTGGATTTTGGGTGGCGTTATGAGCTTCTGGGTATTTGGGTTTTCAGATTTTGGGGTTTGTAGTCATAATTCACAAAACAATTAAATGCAGAAATGAAGGAAGAAGAAAAGGCGCGAATGCCAAAGGAGGGAAATTGTAGCGTACACACTTACATAGTAAGCTTGTTTTTTCTCTACAGCCGTTGAGATTAGATTGGATGGCTGAAATTGATCCTCACATAGTGGCCTCATTTAGGAGTCCTCGTTAGAGCCCAGCCATTAATTCAAATGGGTTCATCTTGTTCGATTCAAGTCCTCACTGGACTAGTCAAAATCATCAGAAACCCTCTGGTTGTTAATTTAAAAACTCCAAAACTTTCTCTATGGCCCACCCAAAAACCCATATTTTGAGAATTAGCTTTGGGGGTTAATTTAGATTACAGTGATATTTTAGATCCAAATTATATATACTGATCTCCTCTGTCTCTGTCCCTATCTCGTCCCTTCTGTGTTTATGTGTTGAAATTTCAACTCCCACTTTTAGATTCTCTCTCCGTCTCTCTCTCTCTCACTCTCTCTCTCTCTCTCTCTAAAACCAAAAGTACCAAGTTTTCTTTGCAGACAGCCAATTTGTTAGAGGACTGGGTCTCTCTCTCAGGAAAAGAATCATTCATTACACACAAACAAAACTTTTTTCTTTTTTTTCTTTTTTCTTTTTTTTCTTATTTTAATTTCACCCTTTTTTATAGAGATTTTCTATTTAAACCCCGTATTTCTCTTTGTTCACCCTAATACTTAAATCATTAAGCTGTAAGTTTTATTATTGTGTAAAAAGACAAAAAAGGTCATCCAACTTAATACTTAACCCTAGTACATCTATACACACACCCCGCACACCCCACCACTCTTATATTAAGTTTTAGAAAAATACAAACTCCTCTACATCGTATTACCAGATTACTGTTCTCCCTAAAATCAACACGATTTCCTCCTTCCACATGGGCAGCTCCTCTATCTCCCAACTTCATACTTGTTGCCACCACTCGATACCACATTTTTGAATTGTCCAAAATTACTGGTACAGTGCCTGATATGAGGTCTATATCATACAAAGAGTCCATGGAACATGAGTTTGCTGTCCACCTAACAAACGAAAGGAAGTCCATTCTGATTGTATACCATGCACATTCTGATCAACAAAAATGTATATACAAATAGGATATAAAGTAGGGAAGTTGGCATAGTTTTGCTAACACGTAGCACTAAAGCTATCCCACAGCCAAAAAGCATTCTCTTGAAACCCAATTAAGAAGTACAAACTTACCTTTCTTCTGAAATTGCATTATGTGAGTGATGAAGGATCTCTTTATTATTGTGTATTGGGTTAATACACATTCTTGCAGGCATTACAAAAGTTCTCATGCAAATAACGTACTTCCTCCTCTTAGGGTAGCTTGTGGGATTTAAATAAAAAATTTATTTTATTTCTTATTTTTTCAGCTTGGGGTGTATTTAAGGGTAGTTTGGGAAGATAGTGTGGTTTTCTTAGAAATTGTGAAAATTTAAATTAAAAGTTGGGATAAACTTAGAACATGGGGTGAACTAAGAGAAGTGTGGGGTTTAAATAGAAAATCTCTTTTTATATTCACTCATTCTTTATTTCTCTCTCTCTTTCTCCCTGTGTAAAGCTGTGTTTTTTAGGCGTGGGCACGGTCCGGTTTGGACCGGTTTTCTCTAAAAAATGAAACCTGAATTGAAATTGCAAATCGGTTCGATTTGGATCGGTTATATCCCTTATAAATGTGATGGCTTTAATATACCTACCATATATTCATAATAGGTAAAATACAAGTTATATTATTGCATAATAGTAAATTATTAGGTAAATTATATGCAAAATGCGTTTATAAAAGTTGAGTATATTATTTGAATAATAGGTATACTAGGTACATTATTTTTGGTAAAAGAAGTAATAAGTATGTTATTTTTTCAACATAAAAATGTATGTATGCTATTATATTTATAAAATAATAAAATAATAACAATATTTTCTTACTAAATAAACTGATTAGGTATGTTAAATATGAATTTATTGTTAAATTAAAAAAAGTTTTCAAATTAATTTGTACATCCATTTGGAGATCTTTCCCAATTTAACGTGTGTCATTAGTTACAATCCAATTAAAATTTGTTTCTATATTGGTTCACACATTACTATACAAAATGCAATAATAGCTTAGTTTGGGATATTTTTGGAATCGAAAAAGTACAATAAATTCGATTTTTTGCGCTTGATTAGGTAACTTGCCGAGTTGGATCCTAGACATCGGATTTTATTCAAACAAAAATAAAGAGATAGGTTGTAGTTGAAGAAAAATGACTTCCAGGGATTAAGCTAAATTTACTATTTATTAAAATAGCAAGACATGCATACATGAATCTTACCCTGAAACAAAACAAAATAAAAAAAACAAATTCTCGAGGAACCAACTTTTCCAAATGAGGAACAATTGTTTTGTTAATTAATATGCTTATCAGTAGCGGGTGGTGATGGTGGTGTCGAGGGAGGAAATTGAATATGATCGAGTCTCTCTCTCAGGAAAAGCTGTGTTTATCTCTCTCTGTGTAAAGCTGTGTTTTTTATTCATATCAAAGTGGTTACCCTCCAAGTCCAAATCAAAAGTCCCCATGCTGTAGTTGAAAATTTTCATAAAAAGTGCAGTTATTAAAAAGAGGGAGAAAATCTTTATAAGTTGAGAGAAATTCAGATTTGCTCCTAAAACAAAACAAGGAATATAGAGCCAAATAAAAAAAACAGTGGGAGAACCAGCAAAAGTAGCAACTCACATTGAATTGAAATGCAGCAGCTGTGATGCCTCTTGCTTTGAAAATGAGGAATCATAGGTCAGTCCCAATCACTTCGATCTTTTTTCTTTTTCTGGGCCGAGCTTCGTCAACAACATCATTTAATTCATCTTGGTCTGCCTCTTCGGAAAGAGCATAGGTATTGCAGAAGAGAGATTTTTGGTGAGAGCTACCACTTCCACTAGGACTACCTTCCCGGTCATCATCGTGGCGTTGTTGACCTTGTGCATCAGCTGATTTGGTAGGACAAGTAGTAGTGCTCTTGATGATGGATTTCTTCATCATGATCTGGTTGAGTTGTTCCACATCTTGCTCGTGCACCAAACGAAACCCACACTTCTTCACACAAAATTTTTCCCACCGTATTCTGTCTTGAGAATAATAAGTTGTGAAAAAAACCTTTGTCTGACGGCATATCTTCTCAAATAGTTTACGAGATACATAAATTACCCAAAGGTGATTTGACACAACATCGCCTATTTTAAAATATTCTGTAAATACTCCAGGTAGCCGCATTCCTTGTAGGGGACAGCTAATCTGAAAATAATGAAATTCAGAAAGATCAGCCTGAACTTCAAACGCAGCACATAAAGCAATTCCCATCCACGTGGTACATGAATCCAGAGGTAGCTCCACAGTTACAGAATCTCCCAAACTTTGATTACTGAACCACTCTGGAATTTCCCTTCCAGGAGTTACAATTTCAAATTGGTTTCGGTAAAGAGGCCTAGGGATTAGCTGTACCATATACATAGATATATATGAGGTTAGTAAGTTGTAATTATTATTATAGCAAACAACAAAAGAGAGAGAGAGAGAGAACCTGAAGGTATCGCTGTAGCATTTTCAGTATTATACTATCGCTGCCTTCATTGTCAACCAATACAAAGCAATTGGCACAACTCATACGAAACCGTATTGAGGTGCAATTTGACGAAAGATGTGGTAACATTTTTAAGGAAGTGCAACCGGCTATGTCTATTTCCACTAATGAGATAAGGTTAGAAAGATCTGGCAATTGTTCAAGACTTTGGCAGCCATTCACCCTAAATAACTCAAGCTTAGAAAGACATCCAATGCTTGCAGGAAGGCTAACAAAATTGCTTCCACTAAGATCTAATGCTTCTAAAGAGGACAAGCAGCCAATATCACTGGGAAGATCCCCTTCACAAAGTCCACGATTACTCAGATTCAAAAACTTCAAAGACAATAAACCATTTCTGTTTTGATATAAACCGGAAAGGCCCCACAAAAACCTTGATTTATTAGGCTGTGATCCACTTCTACCCAAATCTAGCATGTCTAGTTTTTTCAAACCAACAACAGAGCGTGGCAGCTGTCTTATAGAAGTTCCATACAATTGAAGCTTTGTAAGAGACTCCATCTCCCCCATGTTCTCAGGGAGTTTGTCAATTTTTGAGCATTCACTCGCATACAGTTCTTTAAGAGACTTCAGATTACAAATTTCACTCGGAAGACCCGCGAGATTTTTGCAATCATCTAGAAACAGATGAGTAAGGCCAACCAGACATCCTATTGATGAAGATAATTTCTCAATGGACGTATGTTGTAAACTAAGCAATGACAAATTTTTCATTTGCCCTGAAAATTTTGGAATCTTTTTCAATTTTGAGCAACAACCAAGATCCAAGCTTTTAAGACATTTGAGATCTGCAATTGACGGGTGAATCTCAACCAAATTATCACAAAGTTGAAAATCCAACAACTCAAGATTCGGCATACCACTGAAATCTGGGGTTCTGGTCAAGTTTTTAGAGTAACGAAGGTCCATTTTTTTCAAGTTGGGCAAGTCCTGTACAATTCAGAAACAAAATATATAATTAGCACATTTTTATCTTATTTTCCAAAACAAAATATAAAAAAACTAATTTCTTAAAACAAAATATTTATTTTATTTTATTTCAAGTTGGGCAAGTCCTGTACAATTCGATAATTAGCTCAGATTTATTTTATTTTTTAAAACAAAATATTTATAAATAAATAAACTAATTTTTAGAATGGCATATGGTCACTACTCTTACCTTTCTTCCATCCCAAAGCCGAACAAGTTTGCTCTCAGGCATCTCAAGTGCAATAAGGAAATTTGGTTGAAAACCTGATGGGAGAAATTTGGAAGGATAACAATCCCATTTGATACTTCTTAAGGAATTAGGAAGAATTTTGGGGCTTGAAGAAATCATCACATTATCAAATTCAAGAAATTTCAGGTTAAGCATCTTAGAGAAGGCTTTACAATTCCAATTTGCCTTTTGAAGTGTCGCCATGCGTAATCTGATGCCTTTAATTTTGTCCGTTGCCTGTAATTAAGAATAGTAAAAGAAAAGTTAGTTCCACATTTAAGTCTAATAATGTGTTAAAGAGAAATCATATATCTTGCAAAACTATCTTTATATAACTTCTTCTCATACTATTTATGAATACATCAAAGATAGCATTAATTAAGTTTAATACTGTGTTAAAGAGAAATCATAAATCTTCCAAAACTTAGTATCTTTTATATAACTTCTTACCGTATTGTTTATGAATACACGAGAGATATCATCATGATTGCACAACCGACTTCGTCTACCAGGCTCATCAGGACACTCTCGATGAACAATTTCCCATGCCATTTTTTGTATCAAATCATGCATCTGAACATTCCCATTCGATATAGTTAAGAGGGATTTCTGAACGAGAGCATCTATCCCAATACGACCGCATAGGCCACAAATGTCTACTATTTCAATTACATGCTCCTTGTCCTTCCCCTTATGGAAGAATGCAACATCAAGAAATATATCCTTGTTCATCTCATCTAGTCCATCGTAACTTATTTTGAGCAAATCAATAATTTCTGACTTAGGAATTTTCTGCAGCTTATCCAATTCACTTTTCCATTCATCTTGATCTCTCTTATACACTAAGCATCCCAAAAGTTTAAGAGCTAGTGGAAGGCCTCTTGCATAATCTACAAAACTCTTGGACAATTCAAAGAAACCTTCCTCAGGCTCATTTTTTTTAAAGGCATTCCGACTGAAGAGCTCAAGTGCATCATCATCACCTAATCCCTCTACCTTATATGATACCTGCATATCATGCTTGACTAGCAACCGTTCATCTCTAGTTGTAATTATCATTATACTCCCCTTACCAAACCAATCCTTTTTTCCAGCAATTTTTTCTAGTTGGCTTGATTCATTCACATCATCAAGAATGAGAAGAACCTTTTTATTACATAAGCAATTCTTAATGTAATAGGTCCCCCACTGTTCATCCCAAACTTGAGTAATTTGTTCCTTCAAGAGCGGTAAAAGAAGCTGTCTTTGTAGATTAACAAGATTCCCATGTTCAGAAACCTCTCTAACATTAGCAAGGAGGCAGCTAACTTCAAAATTAATAGAAATGCTCTCATAAACTAGCTTAGCAATGGTCGTCTTGCCAATGCCGCCCATCCCCCATATCCCAATAAAGCGAACATCATCCGTAGGAGCTAAAAGCAAATCTATTTGCTCAAGTGTAAACTTAATTCCTACTAACTCTGTGGAATCCAACAATTTGAATGTGCGATGCATTTTACTCCACACCCATTCAACAATCTTTTCAATAAGCTTTCTTTCACACCTACAAGGAAGAAAAGTAAAACGATGATTAAGTTTAAAATATAAGCCATGGGTTTTGTTAAGACATATAGAGAAGTTGTTCATTCATGCTTACTCATTCTTTGAATCTATCCCAGATAAATTGGCCACTTCAGCTAAAGCAGCTCTCCAGCTCTTCACCCTTTCTATGTCTTCCCTAAACCTTTCCTCATGCTCAGCGAATGCGCCCGCAAAACTGCCGCTTTGTTTTCTCACATGGGAGGGATCCACATTATAAAACAATGGCAGAATTGTGCCCTTGGATTTCATGCATTGGAGAATCTCTGTAAGTTCATCCAAGCACCAGGTAGAAGAAGCATAGCTTGGAGAGAGAACAACGATTGCAAGCCTCGATTCTTGGATTGCGTTGAAGAGCCCTGAAGAAATAGGTGTCCCTCTTTCAAGCTTTGGATTGTCTTTGAATGTTTTAATGCCCCTGAGCTGCAATTCGTGGTATAAATGAGATACAAAGTTAAGTCGAGTGTCCTCACCCCTGAAACTCAAAAACACATCGTGGTTCCATTGAGGATCCGATTGATCAGGTGAAGGACGAAAGGCAGAGTCTCTTTTGGTGCTCAATGCCATTAGACAATCTGCTGCTCCTGCAAACACTCAATGAAAATAAGCCTTTTGCTAACTAAATAGAAAGATGATGAGAGACGGCAAAAAAGAAAAGGACTAAAATTTAAACCGGAGGAGAAATAAGGACGTTGAGGAAACAAGTTTCAGAGCAAAGAAAAGGAAACAACAAGAGAGAAACAGAGAGAACTGGGAAAATTATATATGTTCTGTATTTCAACAGAGAGAAACAGAGGAATTCAACATTTAAACACCGAAAAAGTAAGCCAACAAGTTTAGCTTAGTGTTTACCTCAACACCGAAAAAATTACAGAGCCAGAGAATTTGAAAGACCAGAGCAAGCCAGCCAGAAACTCACAAAATATACAACTTCTCAAGATCAGCCAAGAAACCAACAAGAAGAAACAAAGCTAGCAGCCTCAGAAAAGAGAGAGATTTGGAAACCGTGCAGTGGTGAGCACACGGTTTCTCTTTTCACCAATGGGAGTCATTTCTTTTTCTTTTTCTTTTTTTTAATTAAAGAGGGAGGAACAGCCCCATAAAAGAAAGCTACATGATTGTTTTGCTTTTCAATGAGTGCTTTCTTTTGAATTTTTTTCTTTTTGCTTTTCAATGAGTGCTTTCTTTTGATGTTGCTTTCTTGGCAATTACTTGATAATAACGAAATTTGGTTAAGGGGTGAAGGATTTTCCTTTTACATGTTTTTTCATACTCCTGCAACTCATCAATGAAGGAGAAAAAATAATTAGTTAATTCTGAAAATTAATCGAGGAATTTTTTTGAGTACAAGCGCCAACACAAAAGTTTATATGTAATTAGAGCAATTTGAGCAAACAGTAGACTCAAAATGGCTTTGCTTTCAAGATCTTGTCCTTTGCAAGCACTAGTATTTTTATTGAAGGACTATATTCAATCCATCGTGGCATCCCTTTCCAAAACAATGCGCAAATGTGTCACCTACTTGACATATTGTGATATTAATCATGTATTATGTTACATTAATTTGTCAAAGTTCCAGTCTCTTGCATAATTTTAAAATTCTAATTAGCTTTCTTTGTATCCCAATTGGATTTTAGACATTTAATTAATACACAACATTGTCCCATGTCTGAGTCAATAATTCAAAAGATAAGAAAAATGTTATCTTGCACAGGGTGAGTGGTTAACAAAAGATATTGCAAATTAATGGTCAATTAAAAGCTAATTAAGACGTCACCCATTCTCGAATTATAGAGGCTAGAATTGAATATAGCAAGACCAAACAAAACCTTACTAATTATTATTTATTAAAATCCAACTTGGCTAACAGCAAAGCTGAAGCTGATGCTTTGCCTCCTGGTTTTATTGAGGGCACATCAAATAAGGGGCTTGTTTGCTTTGGATGGGTGCTCCAGATGGAAATTCCATTCATTTTCTCAAGGGAGAAAGCTTGAAACTTGAAATGTTTGTGATATGAGTAACCAGAGATATGTATGGATAAGATAGAATATTTTTGGCTTGTTAATTTTTGTGAAATGAGGTATTAATGCCTTAGAATTAATATTAAAACTCCTTTTGGCCAAACCTTGCAATAGGCTAGAGCCTACCCTAGCCATAGTGTAGTACCCTTGGTTAGACGTAACCTCCCCACCACAATATTCATCCCTTTTTCCGACAGCAAATAACCACACACTGAAAAAAACCAAAGTACCAAAGCAACAAGACAATAAACAAACCCCCATACTCAAATATGGACCACACCCAAAGCATAAAGCCACAGGTTAAAGCATAAAAAAAATCCTCATCACAGAAGCAAAAGATTCTCTACACAGGCAAAGCAAAACCACACATGTGCAGACAAAAGAATACTTCTTTCAATCTTTTTGTTTTTCTTCTTTTGGTTGAAAGACTTCTCCGAATCACTATTAGAAGATTCTTGCTTCTAATTTCACTTTTGCAGATCAGCTTCACAGTCCAATTTCCCGCCCAATTTCTCAGAAAAAAGCGTAGAAATGGGTCTTATGGTTGACGACGACCTCAAGGAAATGGGTTTGAGGCGTGATGAGGTAAAAAGGAGTTGATCTGACGATTATATCCCTCATAAATGTTATGGCTTTAATATACTTACAATATACCCATAATAGGTAAAATACAAGTTATATTATTGCATAATAGTAAATTATTAGGTAAATTATATGCAAACTGTGTTGGCGAGTCCTTACTTAGTTAGGATTTTGGTTCCTTATTTCATTAGAATTTTGGTTACTTACCAATTATTATTTAGTCCTATTGTAATAGGGATTTACTTCATATTGTAATTTAGATATATTTCCTATTTTATTTAGGGTTAACACCTCTTTGTACTTGTATAAATACCTCCATATTGAAGAATAATAATAATATGAGCGTATCTTAGCATAACTGAATATTTGCCCTATTTTGTTTGACATGGCATCAGAGCCAACTTTTCTGGTGACCCATGTGTTGTGCTCACCCTTGTTCTAGCCTCATATTTTTTTTCCTATCGGTGCCCTGTGTGCCCTCCTAGGTTTGTGTGTTGTGTCGCGTTGTTCGTGTCATTCATGTCTTCGTGCATCTACCGTATTTGGGTATTTGCTGTGTTCCCCTGTGATAACCTCTGCAAAATTGAGAGTCGTTGGCACTCCTTATTCCTAACCCATCATGGGTCTTCATCTTATGGTCTTTCTTGATGTCTCAGCTTCTCTATCTTTGAAACTTCATAACAAGTTCATTTAAAGTTATCCTGGCCAATCCACACTTTCGTTGTTCCCTTTGCCCAGCTACTTACTCTCTCTGTGTTGCCGGCATTGTCCCGGCTTCTTGTCTTGCCCATATCCCACATGCACTCTGTCTTCCACTTGTTTCACTTTTTATATTAAATATTCTATGTTCTCTCTCTGCCCGCCAACACCCTTTGTGATTCGCTCTATCTCTTGAGCTCTCTCTGTCTTTTCTTCTCTTGCCCACATGCTGGATGTCTTGCCTCTTTTTTCTATCCTTTATTTTATTGACTTGTTTTGCACCATATGTCTCTTCCTTTATCAACACCTCTCGCATTTGTCAACATCACCTACCCTATCTATACAAATTCATCCACCTCCCTACCACCTTCCCATCTTGCATTTGCTTCTGCCACGAGACTGGCATGTTTGAGTCTCTTTACTATTATTCAATTTCTCTTCTTCCAAATCTCGATCTTTTACCAACGTTGGATTTGAGGGGGAGTGTTTGAGGGGCGGATTTGACGAGGAGTATTTGAGGGGGAGCGTTGCAACTTTATTTGGGTGTTACAGAGCAACAAGACAATAAACAAACCCCCATATTCAAATATGGACCACACGCAAAGCATAAAGCCACATGTTAAAGCATTAAAAAAAAATCCTCATCACAGAAGCAAAAGATTCCCTAGACCACACATGTATGTATGCTATTATATTTATAAAAATGTATTTTTTCAACATAAAAATGTATGTATGCTATAATATTTATAAAATAATAAAATAATAAGAAAATAAACTGATTAGGTATGTTAAATATGAATTTATTGTTAAATTTAAAAAAGTTTCCAAATTAATTTGTACATCTCGGAGATCTTTCCCAATTTAATGTGTGTCATTAGTTACAATCCAACTAAAATTTGTTTCTATATTGATTCACACATTACTATACAAAATGCAATAATAGCTTAGTTTGGAATATTTTAGGAATCGAAAAAGTAAAATAAATTCGATTTTTTGCGCTTGATTAGGTAACTTGCCGAGTTGGATCATAAACATCGGATTTTATTTAGGAAAAAAAAAGGAGAGATTTTTGGTGAGAGCTACCACTTCCACTAGGACCAGCGTCCTCGTCATCGTGGCATTGTTGACCTTGTGCATCAACTGATTTGGTAGGACAAGTAGTAGTGCTCTTGATGATGGATTTGTTCATCATCATCTGGTTGAGTTGTTCCACATCTTGCTCGTGCACCAAACGAAACCCAAATTTCATCTCACACGTGCCAGATTTTTTGCGTATCCCCCCGGTATTCGGTCACAACGAAAATAATCAGTTGTTGGCCTGCAAACACTCAATGAAAATAAGCCTTTTGCTAACTAAATAGAAAGATGATGAGAAACGGCAAAAAAGAAAAGCACTAAAATTTAAACCGGAGGAGAAATAAGGACGTTGAGGAAACAAGTTTCAGAGCAAAGAAAAGAAAACAACAAGAGAGAAACAGAGGAATTCAACAAGTTTATGTGGACGAAGCAATGCTTTAGTTAATGTGGACGAAGCAAGCCAACAAGTTTACCTCAACACCGAAAAAATTACAGAGCCAGAGAATTTGTAAGACCAGAAACTCACAAAATATACAACTTCTCAAGATCAGCCAAGAAACCAACAAGAAGAAACAAAGCTAGCTTTCATGGAAGTTGTATACAACTTCATAAGAACCCCATTAAATTTCATGGAAGTTGCTTTTCTCACCCTCTTTAAAGAGAGTTCCCACAACTTTATCTCGAGAAGAAAATCCGTTCTTTTTTTTATTGTTCTTTTTTGGCTATATATCACACCACTAATTGGATTTCAGAAATTTAATTAATACACAAAATTGCGATGTATGAGTCCAAAAGAAAAATAATGTTACAGTAAGCACACGGTTTCTCTGGTCTTACGGGAGTCCAAGTCTTCTTGGGCAATGAGTAATTTCCTATGCTTTTTTTTGATGAAAAAAATGGTGGCAAGTGTGCAACCACTCCGAGCCGGGGAGGGGTTAAGGTTAAAGCTCTCCCCCTGGGGTTCTTTTACACATGCGGAGCATCGAACGCAGGACCTCACTGAGGAGCCTGCTCACATTCGGCCAAACATGGTGGACCCAGCCCCAACCACTGGACCAAACCCCATGGGTTAATTTCCTATGCTTTTCAATGAAGAGGAAGGACGGCATCATTTCATTTCGGACAAATTATAGGGGCCCCCCACGTCAGGCCATTTATTTGAATGGTCGGTATCTTTGTAAAACTGTGGTGAGATTTAATTGAAGGGCATAATGGCCAGCACAGAGAGAGAGAGAGAGGGGAGAAAAGGTTGAAGCCGTGTAGTTACAGTCAGCACACGCTTTCTTTTGTCAGTTATCTCCAGCGTCTCCAATGGGAGTCTAAAGGTAAGTCTTGGGTCAACGAGCGATTTCATTTGCTTTTCAATAAAGAGGACAATTATTTGAATGGTTGGTTTTCTTGGTCAAACTGTGGTGAGATTTAATTGAAGGAAATATCAAGGCAATTACTTGATCATATTAGGATTTCTATTTTAATTTGTATGGCTGGTGTTCTTAATTATATTGTTTTGGCCTTTATCTCTCTTTTTCATAACTACATACAGATTGCATGTGTCGTTTTTCAAACACAAACATCACAAATTATAAGCGATTTGACATAATGGCTAATTAAAAGCCAATTAAGACATATAATCGTTCTCGAATTATAGACGCTAGAATTAAATATATAGCAAGACCAAACAAAGCCTTACTAATTACTAATTTA